AATTAACTAGCTGTATTTGTGTTCACTGTTCTGTTTAGACAGGGTCACTTATCCATGGTTGTACAACTGATGAAGTATGGTGCAGATCCGTCACTAATTGATGGGGAAGGATGCAGCTGTATTCACTTGGCTGCCCAGTTCGGGCATACTTCTATTGTTGCTTACCTGATAGCAAAGGGACAGGTAAACTGAAGTATTGATTACAACATGTAATTTTAGGCTCCTAAACAGATTATTTCATTAGTAAGAAAACAATTACAAATTATGCTTATAATTTCAGTAATTAATATTATGTTATTTTGGAAACTGTCGTATCTTTTTATATTGTTGTGTGTTGCATTTTTAGATGACTGCATTTTAATTGAAGCATCTAATGTCTGTTAGCAATTGTGTGAATACTTTGACTTTAGTTCACATGTGTCTAATGGCCAATATAATATGTGTAAATGTCAGTGTATTTATTCATTTCTTTTCTTACGTTCATTGAATACAATTCCAATTAAGTATATTTTAATTGTTCAGACACAAATCTCCAGATCATTGAAACCTCATGGTAACAGCAAGCAAGACAGAAGAGGCATGGTGATATATGAGACTAAACATTTTTGTGTTAGCTCGTTGTACGCCAGAGGTGGGAAAAATGGCCTCTGCAGGCTGGATCCGGCCTGCCAAGCAAGTTGATCTGGCTGGCAGAGGACCTGCTGCTCCCCTCACCCCAGACTAATCAGGGCCTGGGGGCAGGGGGAAGCCCGAGAAGTCTCCTCCCTCCCTGTCCTCACCCTGCAAGGAATTCAGACCTGCTGCTCCCCTCACCCCAGACTAATCAGGGCCTGGGGGCAGGGGGAAGCCCGAGAAGTCTCCTCCCTCCCTGTCCTCACCCTGCAAGGAGTTCATGGCACTTAGAAATACTGTGCGCTCCTGACAGGGTAGGAGGAGACTTTGTGTGCTCCCCCCACCCTTAAGCCCTGATTGGCCTAGAGGTGGAGGGGCGCACACAAAGTCTTCTCCCGCCCTGCAAGGGGCACAGTGCTTCTAAGCTCCGCACGCTGTTTGCAGGACGGAGGCAGGGTGGGAGGAGACTTCACGCACTCCCTCCGATTGGCCAGGGGGCAGGGGGAGCATGTGAAGTTTCCTCCCATTCTGCAAGGGGCTTAGCACTTGAAGTCTACCGCCAGCTGTTTCTCAGCTCTAAGTGTGGTGCTCTCTTGGGGGAAATGGGGAGGGCAGGGAGCGAGAGACGTCACTGCTCACCCTCTCCAGGCCCTGATTGACGTGGGGACAGCACGTGAAGTCTCCTCCCACTTCCAGGGGCACAGGTGCCTGTTCAGGGTCTGTGGGTGGGGAAGCATGGAAGTGTCCTGGCCCCGCCCCTTCTGGGATGGCCCAGGGCCACTTCAGAAATTTTTGAAGTGGCCCCCGGTCGAAATTTATTGTCCACCACCGCTGTATATCTTTAAGTCTACAACTCAGCCAAACAATTAATAAAACAATCTTCCCGTTCCTGCTTGGCATGTATCAGCCCATGGGATATAAAATCCCAGTTAATAAGTTAGCTGCTTAAACCTTGGGTTTAACAGTTTAACGCATTATGCAGGATTCCACTCCTGCCCATGTGCGGGATTGCTGCTGCTGGTCCCCCACATTGGGGGGGGCCAGCAACAGGAGTCAGTCTCTCCCTCTCTCCATGTGTAAATATGTAACTACTGAAAATTTACCAATATTTTACCAAAAATTACAAAATAATCAGCATTTTAACATGCCTAATTAGCATACTGTGTAATAAAAACAGTATATTCCTGGTAAATGGTATGTAGTAGTCAATGATTATCCAGGCATAACTTTATTCTTGCTTTCTGACTGCTTTCACCTTGTAAATTTACATACTGTGTTCCTGTTTATCCAAAACTCTATTATCCAAACCTGTGTGTTGTTTGCACTCCTTCCTAGTCATCTAATGGTAATGTGGATGTTTGGCTAATAGAGCAGAGACTCCTGAACTGGACTGCAAGTTTCGGGATGAGTCCCCAGCCATGAGGGAGGCCACACTGCTGCTGAATGGCTTCTGCAGCAGATAGGGAACCGCATTCAGTCCTGTTACCATGGGAGTGAGTGAGTAGGGCCATAACATCAGAACTGCAGAGGGCTCCTGCACTACTGCAGAGTCAGTGACACTCAATCCCTGAGGGCATAAAATGCAGAGATTGGTGGGCAGAGCAGAGTTGAGGCTTTGTCCCTGCAGAGATTGAGTGTCATCCAGCCATCACTAGTTCAGGTAACTCTCTGCAGCCCCAAGGTCAGTGAAATGAGAGAGTGAAGAGGAGCAGAGCAGAGGCTCCTGGCCAGGACTGTGCAGAGGAGGATGACAAGACTCCAGCTAGTTGCAGGGGGAGACTATCCCACTGCTGGATGGCTTCTACCTTCCATTATTTGCACTCTAGTTTATCCAGAGGAAATCTGTGTCCTTGATGCGATGTGGACAATTGGCAGTATATTGCATATTTGGTTTATTTATAAAGTAGCTTAGATGGAACAGCAGATGGCGCTATTGTATCTTCAAGCTCATGTTTCTATATAGGTTTATTTCATACAGGCAGTCCCCGGATTACGTACAAGATAGGGACTGTAGGTTTGTTCTTAAGTTGAATTTGTACGTAAGTCGGGTACCCTGGGTGTCCCTGATTTAGCCACTGCTGAAACTGACCAGCGGCTGACTACAGGAATCCCGAGGCAGAGCTGCTT